TGTGATTTTAAGAAAACTCAAGTTCCACCTAATCCAAAACTGTATTTTCTAAAACTAAAATTAATCTCCAGCTGTTTAACTTCTGAAGAGTTTTCATTATGTAATATTACTCTTCAAACTATTTTAACCAATATTTGTACATTTCAGACTGTCATCTATTCATAAATAGTTTGTGAACATGATTTTTATGAATCTATAAATATAAAGCAGGCATATTTATAAATCATCCATGGATTATCTAAACATTGGACCACAGTGGGTGTGTCTACACATGAATTATATCCAGGAGCAGTTTACTCATGAGTAAACTACTCATGAGTAAACACTCCTGGGCAGGCACCCACTTGTGCAGGGATGCGGGAGCATATTTCCTGCTACTGGCAGCAAACTGCTCCTAGGGCCCTGCAGCAGGCCCCTGTCATTACCAAGGGGAGCTCTAGGCTCACCCTAGGTGCTAGCCCAGGGGCTGGCAGGGAGCACAGGGCCAGGACACAGCTGTCTCCAACATTGCACCCTGACCCTAGGGGTGCTGCCTGCTGCTGGGGCAGAGACAAGGTCCCTCTGCCCTGGCAGCAGGGAGCCCCTGCCCCCAGCTCCCCAGTCAAGGGCAGGAGACTTGAAAAGAGCTGCAGAGGAGGGGCAGTTCCCAGCCCCCTGCACTGATCTTTAGGTGGGGTTGCTAGCTGCCCCACAGGTGGATCAGGGCAGAGGGCTGGGACCTACACCACCCCTGCAGCTCTTCCCGAACCCCATGCCTCAATCACATAATCACGGCATGGGGCTGGGACCTGCCCCTGACCGGGACAGTTCCCAGCCCCTGTTCTGCAATTGTGGGACAAAGGCTGGAGAGCCTGTTCCCCAGCCAGCTCTACACTCCTGGAGCTGAGCGGAAAACAGGCTCCCCAGCCCCTACCAACAGGGAGCTCCCAGCGCCAGCTCCACAGTCAACAGCCGGCACTGGGAGATAAGGGTCTCCTAGCCCCCTGCTCCCCAATCACAATGGCAAAGTGGGGGCTAGGAGATAAGGATGAGAATGTGTTTCAGCATGTTATGCCAAAAGCGTGAAGAAATGCCTATGGACACTAGGGCTGTGCAAAGCTTCAGGTGCTGATTCGATTCAGAGGAGATTCAGCCATTCAGATACAAATTGAATCAGGGGACCAATTAAAAGGTCTGAATCGATTCAAAGCTCTTCGAATTGATTTGGAAAAGATTCAGAGAGCTTTGGCGATTTGGGCAGTCCCCACGGGCTGCAGCAGGGAGCTGGACCCAGCCTCCATGCTGGTAAATAGAGGGTGGGGGAGGGGAGACTGGGGACCCCCGCCCCGGCCCCCCCCCCCTGCCTGCCCCCTCCCCACATTGGCTGCCCTGCCTGGCCCAACTCCTGGTTGTTTAAAAAAAAACCCTACTCACCGAGTGCTGCCAGGTGGGAGGGGGGGGTGATCTCTGCTGCCCCACACTGTCCCACACTGCATGGGGGGGCTCTTCCATGAGCCTTCCAACCCCTGTCCGCTCTCCCAGACCCTCCCCCACATGGCTGCCCCACCCATCCCAGCTCCCAGCTCTTTAAAAAAATAAAACACCGACTCCTGCAGCAGTCTCAGGGCTTTTGGGAGCTCATGGAAGAGCCCTCATGTAGCGCAGGGCTGTGGGGGGCAGTAGGGATCGCTTCCCACTAGGCAGGAACTGGTGAGTTCAGGGTTTTTTGTTTTGTTTTTTTTTAAAGGGCCGGGAGCTGGGATGAGGGGGGCAGCCATGGCGGGGTTGAGAGAGTAGGTGGTGGTTGTGGGGCTCATGGCGGAGCCCCCCCATGCAGCATGGAGCAGTGGGGATCACCCCCTGCTGGGCAGGAGCCAGTGAGTGTGGGCTTTTTTTTTCAAAGAGCTAGGACATGGGGCCAGGCAGGGCAGCCATTGAGAACGGGCGGGCGATGGGGCCTGTGTGATTTGGAGATTCAGCTGATTCAGCAGCAGCCGAATCTCTGAATCTGAGTCGGCCAAATCGATTCAGGACAGTGATTTAAATCACTGAATCAAATCACTGTCCCACAAATTGGCCGAATCCGAATCAAATACTAGCTGCTTCGCACTGGTAACACTGGTACTAAAAATACAAATAAAGGATCTGAAGTGTATTTTGAGGTGTTTGTCAGTTCTCTAGTAATGTCTGTCAATGCCTTGTTCAACAAGTGAATTACTTTTGCCTACTCTTGCTCTCCATCTCTCTCCATCCTTTCTGTTTGTCTCAGATAACAAAGTGGAGAGCCAGCACTATCTGATCAGCCAGCTCTCTGCAGGCAACTAGTAAGTTCTTGTAGGTCACTAAAGGTCTCTGGGGCACAGTTTATGGATCTCTGTGGTTAGTGATTTTTCTTACAGATGTTCCCTTTTGTGTGCCTAACTCTAAACTCAGTAACAGGATCTAGATTTTGATTGCATCTCAGTAATGTGTGTGTTTCTTTTCTCCCCACTTACCTAGGAGATAAATACTGGGTTTTTAAGGAAGTGACAGCAGAGCCAGGGTACCCACACAGCCTAGTGGAGCTGGGAATCTCTCTTCCACGGGAAGGCATTGACACAGCTTTGCGATGGGAACCAGTAGGCAAAACCTACTTCTTCAAAGGAGACAGGTATTGGAGATACAATGAGGACAAGAGAGCTACTGACCCAGGATACCCAAAGCCCATCACTGTATGGAGAGGAATCCCACAGGCCCCACAAGGAGCTTTTGTCAGCAAGGAAGGCTGTACGTATCTCCATTTTGTTATAAATGGTTGTCAGACTAGTTACAGGGAAGCTTCCTGGGAGTTAGTGTACATATTTTTACTGAGAAGGGATTTAGGCCTCACATTTCACAGGATTGCACTGATATTAGAGGCTAGGGAGCATAGTCACTACCAGTGACCTTCCCTGCCCCATGCAAACATATGCTTTTTTCCATAACTGACTGCCATTATTATACTGTCTCCTTGTATGTTTGCCCAGTGCTCATCCCAGTGAGCCCTTCCTGATCCTGCCTGAAGACACTGGATGTTATCATGGCAAATTATATTTACGTTGTTATCACTTTCTTCCCACTGATTCTGTTCCTCCTCCGCTTCATACAGTTGGGAAGGAGAAACAGGTGAATACAGCCTGTTTCTCACAGAGGGCACAGGTATCCCTCAAGGCAGTGGGTCTGTCACTTCAGAAAAGGGGGACAGAGATCTGCCCTGCCCTTTTGCCATGAGTTAAGAGAACAGTGACTAATAGCAGGATTTTGGAGTCATATGGGAAAGTAAGGTACCGGCCTTTCAGTAACAGGGAATATCCAAAATCCATGCCGAATTGTTAACTATTCAACAATCCTTAAGAAGCTGCTCTTAAAAAATTGATCCTACCCAGTTGCTGCTTGGGACCATAAGTTTTGAAACTTAAAGTATTAAAAATAAGAAACATCTAAATCCTGCCAAATCATTTGGACACTGTACTCGCAGAATCTTTAAATGTTTCTGTAATCATAGTGTTGGCTCTGGATTTAGGATCCAGATGCCTTGTTTGGGGTGGGGGACCCACCCTCAGATCATAAGGTAATTCAATAATACACAGTGATAACAAAAAAACCCCTCAATACAAACAATCAAACAATTCTATATATCTACCAAATCCTAGGGCTGTCATCAGAGTCAAAATACATCTGGCCAGGATGCAAGATTCACTCTGAGGCTGTCTTTTTTAGGTGTCAGATATCAGCAGCCTGGAGGTGGGATGCTGAAGCCCACAGCCCCACTCCAGTGGGGTGTATAAGACGGGCTGGTCGTGTGTCCTCCATGGTGGGCTCAGGGACCCTTCCTGGGGAACAGGAACAGAGACCCATCTTGTGTGGGAGAAGGCAGGATGGGACAAAGGGACGGACAAGAATAAACAGGGAGGGACTCTGTCACTCTCAAGTCTCTCCTTTTATATCCTCCTTCCCTTCTGATAACTCCTGATAACAGTTCATCCACACGTCCACATAGCCTTTGGGCCTTCTCCTAATTTGGGTGGTTCCCTCAGAAGTGAGACTCAGGTCCCCCGCCTCCCCCTCAACTCCGCTACTCTAGGGTCTCGCAGCTGGTGTCACTACCTTGTGTTATAGGCAGTATGGTATATAATCCCTTGGTTCCCAGCCTTTGTGTCCTTGTTGACCTTGTTGTGTTAGACAATATGATATGTGCCCCCTCAATTCTCAGGCTGTGCCCATCCATTGGCCTTGTTGTGTTAGACAGTCTGTCTGCTTCCAAGGCTGGGTAAAATTCTGTGTGTAAGACCCAAGCTCCTAGAAATCAATTATAGGAATCCCGTGGGTGAACATTTGGTATTGCTTTAATAGAACACATCTTGACATTGGACCCTTATTTTGAAATTCCAAATAAACTGCAACTCAGCTTCCTGATTTTTCCCTTCAGAGCTTGCTCCAAATTCTTCTAAAATCCAAGAACCTGCCTGTAATTTTGAAATGCACCTCTTGTACATTTTGCTTTGTCCCCTCAATCTTGCTACCTTCTGAGAGGCTGACAGTGAGTGCAGACAGACTTCATTACATGTACAGCTTCTAGGCTTTGAATAGTACAGTACAAATAACCTCTCTTTTGTCTTCTAGTTTATACATACTTTTATAAAGGGAAGGAGTATTGGAAGTTTGATAACCAGAGGCTGAGTGTGGAACCAGGTTACCCCAGGTCAATCCTCAAAGACTGGATGGGCTGCAATCAAAAGGAAGTTGAACGAAGCAAAGATAGACGCCTGCCCCATGATGATGTGGATATTATGGTGACAATAAATGATGTGCCTAACACTGTAAATGCAATTGCAGTAGTGATCCCTTGCATTTTATCTCTGTGTATCCTTGTATTGGTATACACAATCTTCCAATTTAAAAACAAAGAAGTACAGCAAAATGTTACCTATTACAAACGACCTGTCCAGGAATGGGTATGACACATAAAGCTTCACATTAGCTCATAGCTCTGATGAGGACTACAGACAAAATAGGTTAAAAAACCCATCAAACAAAACTGTGCGAGTGACTTTGGAGTCACAGACATTCTGGGACTGAAAGAAGCAGAAAAAAAATGAAAAAATGCAGGTGGCCTTGCAGAGTGGAGCCTCTTTCCATCTTACTGCCTTGGTCATATGTCTGTCTTGGTGTGTCATTCTCCACAGGCCCACTTTGTAGGTATCAGAGACCTCAAGAGGAGTTTTCTTCAAACTTTTTCAACTGACATGGAAGACTTCCTTCAGTACCCTGCACCAGTGCTGTCTGTTAAACCCAGCATTCTCCACTGTAGCTAAAACACCTCTAAATGGACCTGGATTTTTAACAGTTGTCTCTTTAAAAAAGTTAAGATCATTAAATGTATGAGGTAGGAATAATTCCATTTCTTAAGAAGAAAGTATTCTGATGTTGAACCATTCTAAAAGATCTTTGTTTATTACATGAGACAGGGAATTACCTAGATGCAATTTTCCAATACCTGCTGGTCAGATGTTTTATACATTCATAATAATTAACTGATGTTGTCTCTTAGAACATTGCATAAGGAAACATTGAGAGATCCAAGGAGATAATTCTGCATACACTATAAATTCAAGAACTCTAAGCCAGATGAAATATTAACTAGTAGCAGCAACTCCCCAACAGGAATAGTCTAAAAGACAAAATAATTGGATCTGAAACATCATTAATCTGAATGAACCCTATTCTGTTTTAGGAACCTTTCATGTAATGAATACTTAAAAGTCCTATTATCATTATTTTGAACTCCTTTCAGTCAGCAACAATAAATTAATTGTTACCAATATGGTGAATAATATATAGATTTTTATTTTTTTCTCCTTTAAATTCTAAGAGAACATGAACTGTTGTTATAGTGGCATATGTAATCAGTTTGTGAAACGTGTATCTCAGATTTCTAGAGAATGAAGGTGCTTCTTTGGCTTAGATCTTGATTGCATTTTGGTAACACTTGCTGGAGAAAATAAGAACTATACTTGTTTGTATTATTGAACCCAAATACTTTAGAGACTAAAAGCATTGTTTAACACTGACATTTATTTTTTAATTTTTTGATCACCTCTTCAGAGCCAAATTTTTGGCAAAGATCAAGAAGGAGTGCCAAATATGATGAGAAATCACCTCACAAGATTGCTACCCAGGTTTTGAGGATTTGTTAGTCTCAAAAAAGATCTTCATAAATGTCTGACCTTTTGATATTAATCTTTCACTTATCTCCTACCCAGAGAGCAGTTGCCTGCCCTTCTTTCTCGTAAGTGTGAATAGTTTAGGATGTCATTGCCTAGCTAGAGATTGCCTTCATCTGATTATCCATGCTGCAATAAAAACAGTGTTAACTAATTGTGAAAGAAAATGGAAATATAATTCCTTGTAACAAGGTGACATTCAGCTTTGTTCAGAGGGGTCAGCTCAAGGCCTAGGCAATACTCACATGTCATTTACACCCCATTTAAGCTTCAAAATAGGAAAAAAGCGCATAATGTACATTGTTAGCCTAGGGCTGAATTTCACCCCAGTGCAGGCAAAGCACAAAGCATTGAAAATCCATTTAATATCCATGTATGTTCCACACATGTGGAAAATCAATTATTTAAATCAAAGCTGTGGTCTTTTGTTTATCTTAACATTTAACCTGTAACATGTAGGTATCATTACAAAGACATGGAAGGAAGAAGTAGAAATAGTGTTAGTATATTTCCAATTTTTTAATTTTTGGCTTACGCCCAGATATTGTTGGATTAAGGCCATATAAGCAGATATGTGAGAAGCAAAGATTTTTGTTTTATTTGACCAGATGTGTGGTTGGAATAGAAGGCAGAGTAAATATGTACCTTTATAGACTGACTAAATAAGATATATATAAAGAGAGCACAAGCTTTAGGGAAATGAAGTTCACTTTATCAGAGGTTGTGAAAGAACATGCAGAGAGCAGAGTATAAAGTGAAGTGAGTGATTAAAATACAATAGATAAGGACGCTGGAGAGAGAGGGAGGTGGGAAGGGGGAGGAGAAATGCTATAAGAGGCATACAAGCAAAGAACCCATAGGAACAAAGGTGGGGGGTGGGGGTCATAAAAACTAGTCCAGGTGATGACATAAGGATCCATAATCCCTGTTTAAACCATAGTTAACAGAGTCCAGTTTGCGGATGATTTCTTGTTCCACAGTCTGCGGTCCTATTGTTCTTTTCTTTTCTTTTGTTTGCTTGAGAACAGCAATTCTGAGGTCAGCAATAGAGTGCCCAGGGAGGTTGAAGTGTTCTGCTTCAGCCTTTTGGGTCTTTTTGCAGCTGAGATGTCAGTTTAGTGTTCAGGGGTTTAGGTTCATTCTTGCATATTGAGATCACCCTGTCTGTCTGGTGTAGGCAACAGAGGGGTATTATAAGCAGGTGATCAAGAATGCTTCACATTTGAATGCTTGTCTAAGTCTATCTCAGTCATGCAGTTGGTCCAGTAAAAGATATCATCCACAAAGATCCTTGACTCTCATATAATTCCTGGGTCATCAAGCTACATCACTCCAACACTGCCATATAAGCCAATAGATACTTTCAGTGATTCCCACTTGACCTGTATATGTGGTTCTAGACTGTACTTTGTATTTTATCCTTTATAATTTATTTCAGTAGCTAAGAAGTCTATTGTATTTTCAATAGAATTTCAAAATCAGTGAGACTTGGTAGATAAAGTAGTTTGAATTGTAGTGAAAGATGTGATAGTGTCTTACGATGGCTGAAGAAGTGCAAAGGACCAAATACAGCAGAACAGCTAATCACTAGAAAACCTCCCAATGCAGTATATTGCTATGTGTACTACCATGTGTGGAGGAATGCACATTATAAACTTCAGAGCCATGTTATACATTGCATTTACCATGCATTTTGACTGATTCCTCTGTACTTTGCTATCTTTTTTGTGTCTTTAACATACCAAATCTCTGAGCAGCTTCAAACAACCACCATTAAAAAAACCAAAAACAAAAAATTCACAATCTTCCCGATAAGTGTTTCTTTCTTTTTCTTCTTTCCCAAAGGCAATATTCCCCCCCAGCAATTAAACTGGTCTATGGGACAGGATGGGTAATATGTAGTCTTAGACCAAGGACACATTTAATGTCAGCTTGCTTTTTTGTAACTGGCGCTAGAAATAGTGGCTTCTATTGATTTAGAAATTCAGGAATCCCTTACCAATAAGGTAAGCTTTCTGGGATTCTAGCATTAATTTGTTCTGATATAAATAAGTGTAATGATTTACAACCACAATTCAGGTCAGTTGAGACACTGTCCCTGATTTCTTGGTATAATTTGAGCCTCAGCTAGTTTTGGGAAAATAAAGATTCAAAATGTGTGCCTGATAAACACAGAAGGTTAGATAAAATTGGGACAACCTCAGCTTCAGGCAGGCTTTTCCATATTCTGCTGCCAAATGACTGAGTTCCTTGAATGTAAGACACATATCTTCTCTTTCCATTTGCCGCAACATCTGCCACTGGGACAGAACTATGCCTTGTTAAATGTCGGAGTCAGCTGAGTTTCTTGACTGTGGTTTGCAGATGCTACTTTAGAAATAACAAGTAATAAAGAATTACAAAGGAACTGCAAGGGAAATGCATAAAGAAACTTGGCTTTATCCTAGAACACATGAGGTATTTCAGAAAATAATAGTAACTGGGTGCATCTACACGTGCATTAAGGCACTTTTCCAAATACGCATTAAATTTAGTACCTCCAATGTGAGGTACTAAATAAATATGCATTAGGCTGCCCTAATGCACAGTAGTGCAAGCACACACTTTTTTATGTGGTACTTAATGCACAATAGCCTATTTTACTGCACATTAGCATAAAAGCATGTTTTTTTACACACTGCTTTTAATGCGCAGTAAAATAAGCTACTGGGCATTAAAGTGCACATGTAGACACATCCACTGAGGGTTACAAAAGGATTTAGGTGCTCACATATCACTTTAGATACCTAACTTCAAACTTCAGAACATCAACACCCTAGATCAGCTGTCACCTAATTCTGAAAGTCCCCAGATATCTTAAGTGTCTGCCAGTAAAGTTCCCTTCATGCCAAAAGTCTGCTTCTACACATCCCTGGAACTGCCTACTTAAAGACAGTGACAAAGTTATAGGTCCTTTTGGGACTTGCAAACTGGATATTCCTTTGCCTGTCTTCCTGGATGCCCAATCTGGTGGGCATCCTGAGGCATATTGGATCAGGCCTCACTCAAAACAGAGGAGGAGACCCTTTTACCAGATATAACACTGATTAGAGCACTTTCCAGGGACATGGGAGACCAAATTAAAACTCCTTTTCTTAAGGGCACTTGAATCCCATGCCTTCCCTCTCCAAAGGCTGCTGCTTTCCCATACCTGCCCTAACCACCAAGCTGCAAGGGATTCTAGAATGGGGCTTCCTCAATCTTTCCTGTAGAAGCTGTCCTATTTTGCATGGGGTGTTTAATATTCATTGGAGTAGGGATTGCATCTCAGGTCTCCTACCATCCAGATGGGTACCATAACATGTCTGTCTATCTGACTAGCCAGGAGCCCATAGCGATCCTCTCCTTGGACCTCTCAAGTGCATTTTTAACAATACTTGTAGCAGTAGGACACTAACTGCCATTGTCCCCCTGCTTATCTGTGGCCAGTTAGGATACTATGCCTTGTAGTTGTGTGATATACTGTAGTTTTAGTAATAAATTGGACAAAAAATTGTATGGGATACTGTGATAGGGATGACCCTACTTCAAAGAAGGGGACTGGACTAGATGACCTCTGGAGGTCCCTTCCAGCCCAAGTTTGCTATAATTCTAAGTTGAATATTCACATCAATAGAAGGCCTCCAGAACTACCCTAGTGACAGTGCACATTAGGAAGAAGAATTTAAATAACTGGAAGATACTGGTCAGAAAGGCCCTCTTCAAGGAAAAATGGGCACATCTACACATGCTATTAATGTGCAGCAATAAACTCCAATTCTTATCATGCTGAAGTATATTGATCCTGGGTGCCATGTTTACACATGCACCTAGGACTGCAGCACATTTTGCTGGGTTGGGGCAGCCCTGGCTGGCAGGAGGCCTGGGGGATCATCCTGCCAGCCCAGGGCTGCTCTGACCCAGCTCAACATGCTGTGAAGGAGCTGGCTAGGGCACAAAGGTGCTTCAGCGTGGAGCTAGCTGGCAGGCAGCCCCACCCCAAAGCACTCTCATGCCCCAGCCATTCCCATCAGTGTATACATGTGCATTCCTGTGGAGCAAAAAAGCTCCTGCAGGCAAGGAGCCAGCAGGAGCCAGCAGCAGCAATAAGGTAAGCCAGGTGATGGAGGAGGGGGAATGGAGAGAAGCTAGGCTAGCTGTAGGGAATCAGGAAATGGTTTTCCTCCCCTCCCATCCCTATTTAGCCACACCAGGTGGGAGTCATGGTCCTGAGCCGCCCAAACAGACCCTGTAAACAGGTGCACTCTTCAGGGGCGCACTGGAGTTTGCACAGGAGTGGGGCTAGGGGTGAGGGGCAGCTGAAGGGGCACTGACCCCTGGGGAGAGAGGGGGGCTGCTTACCGGGAGATCCCTGGTGAGGGGAGGCTCTGGGCTGGGCAGGGTTTCCTCAGGTGGGAGGGGCTGCTGGCTGACTCTTCTGCACAGGCACAGAGCAGCCTGAGCCTCCACTGATTGGCACAGGAAATACAAACTGCACCAGTCGGGACCTGGACACCGAAGTGAGCATACATATGTTCCCTTGGCTCCCCCCTGAACCCACCAAGTGCATATGTTCCCTTGGCTTCCCCCTGAACCCACCAAGTGGAGCAGCGAGACAGGCGGGTGAGGAGCCAGCAACAGCAATAAGGTAAGCCAGGCGGGTGGGGGGGGGAGAAGGGAGAGGAGGAGTCGGGCCAGCTGTAGGGATTCGGGAAAGGGTTTTCCTCCCCTCCCATCCCTATTTAGCCACACCAGGCAGGAGCCACACTCCCTAGCTGCGCAAACAGGCACTACAAACAGGTGCAGTCTTCAGGGGCGCATCAGAGTTTGCACAGGAATTTGCTCAGGGGGGAGAGCAAATGGAGTCTGAACTCTATGCATCAGCATCGTCAGCTTCAGACAGATTCTTCAGAGTCCTCAGGTGAGTGTATGTGAGGGAGTCTTTAATGGGGGTCATGACTTGGAGCACAGCCAGAGACCCTGCCCCACTGCAGCCTCCCACCCAGGGATCGTCTGAGGCCTCCACCCGGACAGAGCCTTTGGGTGGGTCAGCGGCATCCAGGCCCCCTGTTTGTAGGGGTTGCCTAGCAGGTCTTCTAGGGCCCGGGGTAGCAGGAGGGCTGGGAGTCCCCTCACCTGTCCTATGTGTGCCCTGCTTGAGTCCCTGGAGGAGCAGGTGGGGGAACTCCAGGCAGAGGTGAGCAGGCTGTGAGGGAGCAGGGCCACAACAGATGAGATTGATGGTTACTTTCGTTCTCTGCAGAATAAGATGCCTGGTGGAGAAGCAGCAAGGGAATGCCCTGAAGCACATGTGGGTGAACGGAGGACGGTCACCTCTGGGGCCAGACCTCTTACCACAGAGACGGCTCCCCCAGTGCAGTTGGGAAACAAATATGAGCCCTTGGCTGCACTGTAGGAGTGTGCAGTGGAGGAAACTGCACTGGAGGAGCCCACAACCATCATTGAGTGAGCTGAAGGCCAGACAGGTAACTGGAAGAAGAGCAGGGAGCATTATCATGGTGGGTGACTCCCTGCTGAGAGGAATGGAGGGAACCATCTGTTACCCAGATCCCATGGTGTGAGTGGTTTGCTGCCTGCCCAGAGCCCAGAGGAGGAACATCGTGGCAAGGATTCCTGACCTCATCCAGCCCTCCGATTACTATCCCATGGTCCTCATCCATGTGGGCACAAATGATGCAGCCAGGAGTAGTTTGAACTATATCATGGGTGACTACAGGGCTCTAGGGGCCAGGCTTAGGAAGATGGGGGTGCAGGTGGTCTTTTTGTCAATCCTCCCGGTCAGCAGTCACAGTAAGCATCACATCACCTGTGTCAGAGTTCAACCTGCGGCTCCGGAGTTGGTGCCATCATGCGGGTTTTGGCTTCCTGGACCACAATCCGCACTGGACTTCCTGGGACACGATGGGCTTCATCTCTCTGCAAAAGGTAAGAAAGAGTCTCTTCTCTTACAGGTTGGCTAATCTACATTGGGCTTTAAATTAGGTTTGATGGGGGGTGGGGATGCAGGAGATAGAGAGTCTAGGACCTACAATCTACGAGACATGCAAGAGAACATCCCATGTAAGTACTAAGGGGGCCCATGGGGCATCAGAACGGGGGGGGCACCAAAGGCACCATTCAGAGGGCTCAAGTGCCTCTATACTAAGGCTAGGAGCATGGGGAACAAGCAGGAAGAACTCGCACTCCTGCTTGCAAACAATAACTTTGATTTAGTTTAGCTAACGGAAATCTGCACCCTACCCATGACTGGGCAGTCCTCATTGAGGGCTACAGGTTGTACAAACAAGACAGAATAGGGAGAAAGGGGGTGGGGGGGAGTTGCTCTCTATGTTAAGGAGCATTATACATATACCCTAATCAAAATGGGATCAGAGGAGGAGAAAGTTGAGGTATTGTGGGCTAGGATACATGAAAGTTGAGGGGAAAGGGACTTCGTGGTAGGGGTCTGCTACAGACCATCACATCAAGAGGAAGAATTAGACTTGGAATTCTTGAGGCAGCTCTCAGAGGCTGTACGGTCTGGGGACGTGGTTGTCATAGGGGACCTAAACTACCCGGGCATCTGCTGGGAGGAGCAGTCAGCCAAATCCAACCAGTCACATAAGTTCTTAACCTGTGTACAGGTCCTTCACCTAATGCAGGGGGTATACGGCCCCATTAGGGGAAATGCCTTATTGGACTTGGTGTTGGCTATGGGGAAAGGCCTGCTAGGGGAGCTGCAGATTCATGGTCACCCTGGGGACAGTGACCATCAATCAATCAAATTCACCATACAGCATAGGGTGGGAAGATAACTGGTAGGGTGGAAGTGCTTGACTTTAGGAAGGCTAACTTCAGTGTGCTCAGGAATTTAGTCAATGATGCACTGCAGGATAGGAGTATTGGTGAGATGGGAGTCCAGGAAAGGTGGTTATTCCTAAAGGAAGCAATCTTTCAGGCACAGAGGGAGATGATCCCATTGCGAGGGAAAGGGACCAAAAAACTTCCTTGGCTAAAAAAAGAAAACCAGGGAAGCCTACGGGCAAAAAAGAAGACATATAGGTGGTGGAAGCAGGGGAAAGCTACCAAGGAGGAGTATACCTACTTGGCCCACACTTTCAGGGAAGCAGTTAAAAAGGCCAAAGCAACTACAAAGCTGAGGCTGGCAACACAAATTAAAGATGTTGTCTTTATTATTAAAAGTATTTTTTTAGGCATGAAGGGAGTAAAAGGAAGGCGTAGGGCAGCATAGGACCCCTACTGAAGAAGCAGGAGCAATTAGTGACAGATAGTGGGGACAAGGTGGAGCTCTTCAATGAGTTTTTTGCCTCAGTGTTCCTGAACAAGGGTCAAGACAAGTCTCCTAATGAGTTCTTAGATGGGCATCAGAGGGACACCAGTCTACCAACTGTTGATGCTGACTTGGTTCAGAGTTACTTGGATGGACTGGATGTGTTTAAGTCAGCAAGCTCAGATGAGCTGCATCCAAGAGTACTGAAGAAATTGGCTAGTCATAGCAGAACCACTGGCACGGCTGTTTGAGCACTCATGGTGCTCAGGTCAAGTCCCAGGGGACTGGAAAAGGGCCTATGTAGTCCCTATTTTCAAGAAGGGGAGGAAGGAGGATCCAAGTAATTGTAGGCCAGTTAGTCTCACCTCTATCCTTGGAAAAGTCTTTGAAAAAATTATAAAGGATCATATTTGTGGGAGTCTAGTGGGAAAAACAATGCAGCAGGGCAACCAGCATGGATTTGTAGCAGGTAGATCATGCCTGACTAATCTGGTTTCTTTTTATGACCAGGTCACAAAACTCTTAGATCCAGGAGTAGAGGTGGATGTCGTTTACTTGGATTTTAAGAAGGTCTTCGATACTGTATCTCATCCCATTCTCATAAATAAATTAAGATGCTCTGACTTAGATGATTACACAGTCCAGTGGGTGGCAAATTGGCTTGGGAGTTGCACCCAGAGAGTGGTGGTGGACAGGTTGGTATTGACCTGGAAGGATGTGGGCAGTGGGGTCCCACAGTGCTCAGTCCTTGGACTTGTACTCTTCAATGTCTTCATCAGTGATTTGGATGTGTGCCTGAAGTGTACCCTGTCCAAGTTTGTGGATGATACTAAATTGTGGGGTGAAGTGAACACACAAGAGGGTAGGGAACGATTACAGGTGGACCTGGACAGGTTGGAAAAGTGGTCAGAACACAATAGGATGTTGTTCAACAAAGACAAATGCAGAGTGCTGCACCTAGGGCGTAAAAATATCCAGCACACTTACTGGCTAGGAAATGACCCTCTCAGCAGCACAGAAGCAGAAAACTTCAAGTGGACTCCAAGATGAACATGAGTCGTCAATGTGACAAAATCATCAGCAAAGCTAACTGCACTTTATCATGCCTCAGCAGATGCATGACAAATAGAACCAAGGAGGTGATACTTCCCCTCTATGTGGCATTGGTCAGATCATAGTTGGTGTATTGCGTCTAGTTTTGAGCACCGTACTTTAAGAAGGATGTGGATAACCTCAAGAGGGTCCAGAGGAGGGCCATTCATATGGTTAAGAGTTTGCAGGCCAAGCCCTATGAGGAGAGACTAAGGGACCTGGATGTCTTCAGCCTCCACAAGAGAAGGCTGAGAGGTGATCTTGTGGCTGCCTACAAATTCATTAAGGGGGTACAGCAAGGAACCGGAGATGCTCTGTTCACCAGGACACCTCTTCGGGTAACAAGGAACTGTTAGGGTAACGATATGGATTTTGGGGAGTACTAGAATTGCAGCTGAATACAAAGACTTTTTCCTGTCTCTCAGCAGAGCTGCTGGTCACAAGGCAGAATGATGTATTAACAATAACCATGCAAATGCTTAGGCAAGCAGTTTTCTAAACAAAGTCATAGCGTTAGAGCCCACTGTGTAAGAAGAACAAGCTGCAACCCACCAGCTATCATTTGGAGATAAAGCAGAAGAAAGGCCTTGGAGATGGTGCTGAAGTCAGCAAGAACTAGAAAGAGCCGGTGATTGACCAAGAGTACCCACATGGCCTTACGCATGCGCTCTTAGCAGAGAGCATGTAAATGAATGAAATGCACAGGCAATTCCATGCTAATGAAGTAAACAGTAAACAGAGGTGAAGCTTGAGATGGGAGGAGAAATGGGTGGAACAGAAGGTGGAGTTAATATTAATATGTATGAACCAAGGTGTATAAATGTGAAAAGAACCAATGTTCAGGGCTGCTCCCCATGTTCATAAACTGGGTGTCTGTGAGGGAGCTCACCCGAAGTTGTCTTCATTCTAATAAAGCTGTTGTGAGTAATGTGTGCTGGTGGTTGCTCCCTGCTTGCTCTGGCTAATGAGTAACAGGAACCATGGGCAATTGGATCGTCGTCTCCCTAGTCGTTGGGCGCTGCGTGGAGTCGGGGTCTAACAGGAACAATGGTCACAAACTGACAGAGTGCAGATTTAGGCTAGATATCAGGAAGAGCTTCTTCACGGTAAGGGTGGCCAGAATTTGGAATGGGCTTCCAAGGCAGGTGGTACCCTCCCGTACTTTGTGCGTCTTTAAGAGAAGGCTGGATAGGCATCTGGCTGGGGTCATCTGACCCCAACACTCCTTCCTGCCCAGGGCTTGGGTTGGACTCGATGATCTGTTGAGGTCCCTTCTGACCCTAGCATCTCTGAATAGTACTTGTATTTACAAGTAATATCCTGCTGTGGAGTTTATTAGTTTCCTGCAGCCTAACAGGGCCCCATGCATAGATGCCAAGACTTTTGCTGCAGAGCTAATTAGGCAACTCCACAGTAAACAGCTCAGGTAAATGCCCTCAATGAATCTTTAACTTTATTGTGTAGGTTATCTTATGGATAACAGACTCTCTGAATATTAATTAGCAAGACCCAGCTGACTGTAACCTATTGAAATTTACAGCAATCTAAGAAAACCATGGAAAAGTTCATAAAGGATGCAGTCAGTAGATAATTCATGGATAACAGCTTGATAATAGACAATAAATGTGTTTTTAGGGGGAAAAGTCTCGTTAAATAACCTTGAAAATCACATTTTGATAAAATTACATGTTTGCTAAATAATAGTATAAGGGATACATCCATTGACCTGGAAATGTCACCACCTTGTCCTGAAACCCCAACCTCTTGGCTACTGTCATCTCTCCATCAATTGGGGTGGTATTCTGAGATTGAGGTAACACAGACAGGAGGATACATGAACTAATATGCTACCCCAGCTATGGCTCTCAAAATCCAAAGGCAGATGTCCTCTGGCCGAAGTGTTCTTTGAGATGCCCAAATCTGATTAGAAGATCCACACAAACAATATCCAGACAGACAAATCTATTTCCCAGGCACGAAACAGGCTCTAAAACAGTGATGGAACCCAACAGCCCAGTATTAGAACCATTGATGGAAGATAGCAGTGTCAAATAATCCTATCCAAGGAAGTAGTGCTGAGTTAATCAAACTAGGCTTTGTCAACAACAGGCATTGTAGTAACTTTCATTTTCCATGGGCAGATGGCGATTTTAGAGAGGCCTTTCAAAATTGAACATTGTTTGAGCTGTGGGCATAAGCAGGTGTAAATCTTCCATTAACTGGTTTTGTTTATGCCTGAGCAAGAGGAGCACAAGGCAAGATGCAAAATAAAATATGTTTGAAGATTATACAACCACTAAAACCAAGACCACATAGATTACCAGTCTCTATATTTTTCAAATTGCTGTAAAATATTGTGTTCCATTTCCTGATCAACAAGCCTTGCTTTATTGTGTTCAGATTTGTTGTTTTGTGTGTGAATCCTCCATGCATATGTTAAAGAAGAGCATCACAGTTTTCAGTCATGTCTACAGAGGAGACAATAAAATGTATTATGCAGTTGGTGAGGTAGGGAACTTTGAGAAGGTAAGCTCTCTTGTAAGCAGCCAAAAGCCATAGTAAGATTCTGAACAGAAGACAGGTAACATCTCCACTCTCATATAAAGATGCCTACACTTTACACAGACCAGTACAAATACACTCTAAAAGAAACAAGTCTGTGCATCTACAACGGTATACCGATTTAGTGAATATGCAGCAGTTCTCCAAACACAACAATGGTTTTAAGTACATCTTTAAAAAAGCACAGAACCTTAGAATCATGGGGTTGGGAGTGACCTGGAGGATCACGTAGCCCAACCTCTTGCACAAATACATGCATCTAAGGTACTTCACATTTTAACCTGCTTATTTTCCTCTTGCAACTTTTTGCACCTTTATGGCTGTTCCCCAGAATTAACCTTCTTTTCCCAGTCCTCTTCCCTCTCGACTGGAAGCCCTATGGTTAGAAGGTTTTGTTGACCATCCCCTATAAAACCCAGTTTAAAGCTAAGTTAACTATACAATGCCCAAAGATGCTCTTTTAAGTACTTGTCAGAGGGATCCCATCTCTCAATAGCAATCCTGTTCCCCAAAACAGCTCCCTATTGTTGAAGAATCCAAAGTTTTTGCATCCGCACCACCTTCTCAGCCACTCCTTTTTCCTCCATGATGTGATGGTCTCTGCCTGGCCCCTTACCTTTGAACAGGAGGATTGAAGATAATACAACCTGTGTGCCAAACCCCTTAATCTTTCCATCTAGAGCAGAGGGAACCCAACTCTGGCATGTGCGCCATAAGTGGCATGGACAACATCTTTGTGGGGCACATGGCAGATCAGGGAAGGGGGAAGGAACAGAAAGCAGAGCAACAGATGGGGGAGGGGACAAGAATTGAAGTAGTGCAGGGCTTAACTTGTGGCACACCTGCCAAAAAGTTGGATCCCCACTTGCCTAGAACCTCATAGTTTCCTCTGATCTGCTCAGAGAAATTCCAGGCAGTAGTACTAGTATCTTCATGGACAAGCAGGAAGTGGGGAGTGAACTGCAGAGGAAAGTTAGCAGAAGGGCTGGTATGCCCCCTAGGCTTAATAGGGATATCACGGTCCTCTTAAAAAAGGAAAAAAAAGAGGCATACAAAAAATGGAAGCTTGAGGTAGTCACCAAGGAGGCTCTACAACAACGGTCCGCACTTGTAGGTAGCAGATTAGAAAGGCTAAGGCAAAGACTGAATTTAAATTGGCAACAGAAGTCAAGGACAATAAGAAGTCCTTCTTTAGGTATGTAGGGAACAGGAGGAAAACAAATGGAAGTGTAGGGCCATTGCTTAACAAGTTGGTACAGCTGGTTACCAACATGCAGGAGAAAACTGAACTCCTGAATGATTACTGTGCTTCAGTATTTCACTAGACTAAGTGGAAAATCATGCTAGATAAGGTTCAGAATGTGCATGGTGGGAATGACTGCCTTCCTACTGTTGACATTGAGCTGGTGCGTGATCAGTTAGGAAAGTTAAACATTTACAAGTCAATAGGACCGGATGAATTTTATCTGAGAGTACTAAAGGAGCTGGCCGAAGTCATCATTGGGCCTCTGGTGAAACTCTTCCAAAACTCATGGCACTTGGGGGAGGTCCCTGAAGACTGGAAGAGGGCCAATGTTATGCCCATCTTCAAGAAGGGGAGGAGAGAGGACCTGGGCAACTATAAGCCGATTAGCCTAGCTTCTATCCCAAGGACAATCCTGAAAAAATTAATCAAGGAGTCTGTGCGATACGCTTGTAGAAGGTAGGATTCTGAATGACAGCCAGCATGGCTTCGTCATGGGCAGGTCTTGTCTTACCAATCTCATCTCCGTCTATGACCAGGTAATGCACCACCTGGATAAGAGAGAGGAGGTCAACATGTATACCTTGACTTCCAAAAGGCCTTTGATCTGGTATCCCATGATGTTCTCATGGGAAAATTGGAGGATTGCGGGCTTAACTTCTCAACAGTCAGGTGGGTAGGAAGTTGGCTGCGGGGATTAGGACCCAGAGAATTCTAATGAACTGATCTGTGTCATCCTGGTGAGAAGTGGCCAGTAGTTTCCCTAAGGGGTCCATGCTTGATCCAGTGCTTTTCAACATTTTATCAATGATTTGGATGTGGGAGTGAAGAGCTCATAGGTGAAGTGTACAGATGACACCAAGTCATGGGGGGGCATAGTCACACTTGAAGATAGGCTACAGATACAGACAGACCTAGACAGGCTGGCAAGTTGGGTGGATCAGAACCAGATGAAGTTCAACACTGAGAAGTGTAAAGGGCTCCATCTGGTGATGAACAACCCCCAACATACTTACAGGCTTGGCAGCACCAAACTGACTAGCACCATGACTGAAAGGGACCTAGGGTTATAATAAACCATAGTATGAACATAAGCCATCAGTGCGATGCTGTAGCCAGCAGAGCAAACAATATTCTGGCATGCATCAACCAATGCATCTCAAGCAAAACCAAGTAAGTGATTCTTCCATTTTACTGAGCATTGGTGAGACCACAGCTGGAGTACTGTGTCCAGTTTTGGGCGCTGCACTTCAACAAGGGTGTGGAAAAGCTTGAGAGAGTCCAAAGAAGAGCCACCTGTATGATCAGAGACTTGCAAGGCAAGCCATATAAAGAAAGGCTGAAGGACCTGGGCCTTCTCAGCCTAAAAAAGAGAAGGCTGACAGGGGACTTGGTAGCAGCTTACCACTACATCAGGGGAATACATCAAGGGCTTGGCAATGGGGAAAACCAGGGGTAATGGCCACAAACTCCTGGAAGAATATTTCAGGCTAAACACTAGGAAAAACTTCTACACAGTTAGGGTGTTCAGACTGTGAAATAAACTCCCTCCAGAGGTGATGCAATCACCTACCCTGGAAATCTTCAAGAGGAGACTGGACGGTCACCATGCTGGGGTCACTGGACCCCAGTTGTCCTTCCTGCCTAGTGCAGGGGGGCTGGACCTGATGCTCTTGTTAGGTCCCTTCCAGCCCCTTATAATCCCCCCACATTACGTGTCTACACTTTCATAGTTTCATAGTTTCATTGTTGGTAGGGTCAGAAGGGACCTGAGCAGCTCATCAAGTCCGACCCCCTGCCATGGCAGGAAAGAGTACTGGGGTCAAACGACCCCAGCAAGGTGTTCATCCAGCCTCCTCTTAAAGACCCCCAGGGTAGGAGCCAGCACCACTT